GTTGTGAATTACATTTGATGGATTCACTGGTTAATGGTAAGAATGTTTCTATGTTCCTTAAATTGCTCCTTAGGAGAATTCAACCACCAAAGTAAGTGCTAATATTACTTGACTTTGGATGATAATGATGTCAGTTATTAGGCACCGTCCATTTTTGTGTTTTGTTATGTGTTTCCCTTGGCGAGAGATGTGGGTAATGGGGGAGGTTATGTAAGTGCAAAGAAGGTGTTTTTTATATGTGTTCCTTCTGCTCAAATTGTTCCTGTGGACCCTTTTTTTTGATTTTTAAGTATAGTTTATTATACAAAGGACGGGTCTGAGGAAAGTGCTATTTTGGCCTGAAGCAACAGTTGCAGTTAACTGGGATGGGGGAAGGTTTGGATAAAGACGGATTTGGAAAAAGAAGATTAGGAAGTAAGTTTGGTCAAGTTAAATTTTAGATATTATTTATGGTTATTGTTTTGTTCAACAAATTTTGTCAGCTGAAGATCACATGGCATCTGCATGGAGTTTTTTTCGTGTCCCCTGCTGATGGCCACTGCCAAAATGCCACTTGAAGATATCTCATTGCTACTTCTGCAGTCCTCATGAAGAACAGGGATCTATGCCGAAGGTTCTTAGCATGGTGCTGCAATAAATGCCAAGCCTTGAGGCTCCAGGGAAACACTAGTGGGACTATGGAGTCTCATACTTCCTGTAAAAGGGAACTCTTCTTTTTCCGGTTATTGGCGATAACGAGCTCCAAATCTTCCAGCAATCTCCTTCAACTTCTATTACAGTTTGTCTTCCTCCTCAGGCTGAGGCATAAAACCTCTTAGACGCTGAGACTTGTGATCTTTTCCTTTTTCCTTCCTTGCGTTTCTTGTACTGTTCAACTAACCGTTTTCTTTTTCTAATCTCTCCCCTCGCCTTATTCCAAGATATTATCTTGTCTGGTTCTGGTTTTTTGGGTCCGGGAGCAGTGTTGGATTCTTGGGCTTGGTTATTAGTTCAATTATAATAATGTTTGTATGGACTCCACCACTAGAAATGAGGTTTAAAGCAGAATGAATGGCTGTGCTTGGTACACCTGCGAGTAGAGTCTTAAACTCGTAGATGGGAAACATTTTCAGCACTAACGTGCATATGTGTGACGTATGAGTGGAAAGGCATTAATATTGGTGTGTAGCACGTTAAAGTCATGACACAGCAGTGACACATCAAAAGCCCACTATTTACTGATTTGAAGACAGATTCCCGATGACCAAATTTTTTCCAGACATCCGTTTTTTGTCGGGGATTGTCCTTTCCTCAGCGACTATCATGAAATGGACTCCATAGTCCATAGTGTTTCCCTGGAGCCTCAAGGCTTGGCATTTATTGCAGCACCATGCTAAGAACCTTCGGCATAGATACCTGTTCTCATGAGGACTGCAGAAGTAGCAATGAGATATCTTCAAGTGGCATTTTGGCAGTGGCCAACAGCAGGGGGACAGAAAAAAACATCCATGCAGATGCCATGTGATCTTCAGGAACGGATGTTGGAAAAAATTTGGGTCATGGAGATGTTTAAATAGTAAATTAGTGGGCTTTTGATGTGTCACTGCTGTGTCATACTTTTATGCTACACAACCAAATTAATGCTTTTCCACTCATACTCAAATAGGCAACGATTAGGTGCTGAAAATTGTTTCCATCACATTTAAGACTCTACTGCAGTGTACATCACACCATTTTCTGCTTTAAACTCTTTCCTAGTGTGGAGTCCATAAAAATTATTATAATTTAACAATTAGCCCAAGCAAGAATCCAACCATGTCCGGAACCAGAACCAGAACCAGAACAGAAAGATAATATTTGGAATGAAAGGCGAGGGAGAGATTAGGAAAGAAACGTTTGAAGTTGAAGGTAAAAGGACAAACGAAGAAGGAAAAGGAAAAGATTACAAGTCTCAGTCTAAGAGGTTTATGCCTCAGCCTGAGGAGGAAGAACTGTAGATAGAAGGTGAAGGAGATTGCTGAAGAGTTTGGAGCTCGTTTAATGCCAATACCGGGAGAAAAGAAATTCCCTTTTACAGGAATGAATATGGACTCCATAGTCCATAGTGTTTCCCTGGAGCCTCAAGGCTGGCATTTATTGCAGCACCCATGCTAAGAACCTTTCGGCATAGATACCCTGTTCTCATGAGGACTGGCAGAAGTAGCAATGAGATATCTTCAAAGTGGCAATTTTGGCAGTGGCCCATCAGCAGGGGGACAGAAAAAAACATCCATGCAGATGCCATTGTGATCTTCAGCTGACAAATTGTTGAACAAAACAATAAACCATCAATAGATACTAAAATTTAACTTGACCAAAACTTATTTCCTAATCTTCTTTTTTCCAATCCGTTTATATCCAAACCTTCCCCATCTCAGTTAACTGCAACTGTTGCTCAGGCCAAAAAGCACTTGGAGCCATAGAAGCTAGGGTAATCTTTGTAATAAACTATCTTAAGAGCAGTTTTAGGTCCCACAGGGGAATATTGACAGAAAGGTAGAGAGATTTCTTATATACACCTTCCTTGACACACTTACATAAAACCTCCCCATTACCAACATCTCTCCGCCAGAAGTGATACACTTCTTACAATTGACGTGCCTATACTGACATCATTATCATCCAAAATCCATAGTTTATATTATGACTTACTCTTGGTGTTGTAATTTCTCTAGGTCTGGCATTTAGAATGACATGTACTACCATTACAGTCCCACAAAGTAATTCACTGCCCCTGAAAGTCCTCTGTGCCTCTGCCTATCTATCCTTTCTTCCCTCCCTTCTAAATCCAAACAACCACTGGTCTTTTTATTTTCTCCATGGCTGTGCATTTTTAGAATGCCCTATAGTGGAATCATACAGTATGTAGCCTTTTCAGGTTTAGCTTCTTTAACCTAGTAATATGCACGGAGTTTCCTCTATGTCTTTTTCAATGGCTTGATATCTCAATTTCTTTTCAGGGTTAAATTAAATCCATTGTCTGCTTTACCAAAGTTTCCGTATGCCTTCACCTGGTGAAGGATATCTTGGTTGCTTCCAAGTTTTGGCAATTATGCATAAAGCTACTGTCAATATCCATATGCAAGATTTTGTGGAGATATAAGTTTTTAACTCCTTTGGGTAAATACCAAGAGCATGTTTGTTGGATTGTATGTTTAGTTTTGCAACAAAACCACTAACCTATCTTTCAAAGTGTCTGTACCATTTTGGAATTCTAGTGGCAATGAATGAGAGTTCCCGTTGCTCCACATTCTCACCAGCATGTGATGTTGTCAGTCTTCTGAATGTTGGCCATTCTAATAGATATGCAGTAGTATTCCATTGTTGTTTTAATTTGCAATTCCCTAATGACACATGATGTAAAGAAACTTTTAATATGTGGAGTAATCTTTTTGTAATATAAGGAGCATCATGTACTTTTCTACTGGTAGTCTGGTATATTTCTTCCAGGGCTAGAATGTAAATCTTCAAGTGAAGGAAATCATTGCCTGTACTTAAGTTTTAAAGTAATGTTTCCTAGTTCTGGAAATCCCCGAAAAACTGGAAGAGGATTTAATGGGGGTAAGGCCTTATGAAAGTGAGGGTGAGTAAAAGCCAGAGACAGCTGACTTAGTGCTGTTAACATAATCTCACTTGTATCTGCTGTTGAAAAAGATCTGAAGAAGCTTGTGTTTATGTACTGCAGTAGTCCCTGGTGTGTGTGTAGGGCTATATGGTGAACAAACTGCTTTCATATATGCTATCAGATTTTATTCTAATGACAATTTTGTGACCTGGCTATTCCTAACTTCAAATTAAACATGGCAGAATGAACACGTCTACTCTCTTCAGAAACCTACTGATTATAGGAAAGAAATTAAAATGTTTTTAATTCACAGAGACAGAGATAAGAAGATGACAGTAAGAAGAAAGTTAATCATAAGATTTTAGTACTCGGAAAGATGAATGAGATGGACACAGATGGTTGTCATGATTGACTGAGACTTTGAGTTTCTCTGCTTTGCTAAGTGTCATGGAAGAAATAGAATGATTAAGCTAATATTTGCTATGGCAATCCAGAAATGTCCAAGAATTAGAGGCAAAAGAAGTGAAGAGAATTCTGAAAATGATAATGAAGTTAATCTATAGGAAGACAGTATTGCAGCAGCCCGAAGAAGAGCCAATTCCAGTCAGAACATAACAGCAATGAGCTACAGAAAATAAGAGGAATGATTAAAGAAAAATATACATGTAACTTCAATGTTAAATTAGTAGTAAGTAGAAAACAGAGGAAGTGAAAAGAGGCATTTATTAAATCTATGAAAAACAAAAATTAGATTAACTATAAAATGGTTAAGCTATGAAAATTACAAATAATTAGTACTGTTAAAAATGGTTAAGCGATGAATAATGTAAATAACATTTAAATTAATTAAAATTTTAAATTAATATTTTAAAATATGTATTATTTATATTAAGATAGGCAAAGGGAAAAGGTTTGTGAAGGAAGGTGGCAGGATACAGTAAGAAACATAAATGCTAATCTCAGATGGTGGAAATTTAATTAATTAAAGGAAAAACCAAACGGTGCTAAAGCACATCATTTTAGAATTAGATCATAAATATTTGTAACAAAATACTAAAAGAGTTGAAAATTGTCATCTCAAGAAATTGGACTCAGAGATAACGTGTGGGATTAGGTATGGTAGGAAAGTTCTGATTTCTATTACGATTCTATAGTACTACTTGACTTTTAAAATGAAGTTCATTTATTTCTTAAATAGAAAGAAATCTAAAATTAAACAAGTACATGATTTGGCAGTGTTATAGCTTGTGATTCCAAGCCAACAAAGGAAGTCATACTATAAAGAAGTAAAAAATGTAAAACATATCTTCAGATAATGGGGCTACAGGTG